CTCTAGCGATAAGATCTATATATATGGCGCTTAATATACATTCGCTTAGCTTTTTTTTTATTATTATTATTTCTGTCGCCTTTTGCCCCTCAATAAAATAAATTAGTTATTTATTTCGTGTGTCGCAAGAGGCGAATTCACACTTTATGGCTCTATTTTTTAGTTCTTTGAAATGACTTAAGAAAAAGTAAAAAAAAAAGAAGAAGAAGCAGCAGATAATGCACATATTATCGAAAATTGTGCCATAAATTACAGAGCATGTTCATTTCCTGATTATATTTTCGATTAGAAATTCGTAAGGCCAAGATTTCTTCTTTTTTTTAAATAGCAATAAAAACAAAAGCAAGAACAAAACTTAAAACTTTATTAAGCCGTTAAGCGAGGGGAAAATAAACGGACAGAAATAAAAAATAGTTAAGAATAAATCCCTGCGCCGCTGATATTGTCACACTGTGTTACGCGGTGGTCTAAAAAGGTTTACCATTTCCAGAAAGAAAATAAATAAAGACCTAAACATAAATTTGATTTATTCGTGGCCTGGGAGTGGAAATCAATCAAACTGGCCTAATGAGCCGCCGACCCCACAGTTCGATACTCCGGAAACAGTTGACAAACGCATTGACCCAAACTCTGATTCACACGATCCACAAAGAAATGGGCGCTCTCTCTCTCCCTCCCTCCCTCCCTCTCTCTCTGTGTAGTAGCTAACGACCTCTGCTCTGCGCTCTCAAGTTGGAAGTTCAAGCAACCCGATTTACATAAATCGGCATCGACATTCGACATGGAGGCTTAAAGACAAGTAACTCGCAGACTCTGCGACTCGCATATTACAGTTATGACTAATACTTCAGACAAAGAATCTGCCTCTCCCACTCCCTCTCTTCATTTCTCTCTCTCCACTCCATCTCTCTCTCTATCTCGGCAGCTGCTCACTGAGCTGTCAAAGAACTTTTCCGCACTTGGCAATTTTCAGTAATTTTCTTGCAAAAACAATTGCTTGCCATGAATGCAAACCAAAGAGCAGCTGCTTGACTGATTGATAGCAGCAGAGATACCCTCTAAATGCTGAAAAGCATATTGAAGCTGGCTTAATTAGTAAATTGAGCTAATATATTCTATTGCCTAGATGAAAATGGAATCTTAAAGCTTGGCTACAGCTAATAGCTCTGACTACTTGATTGATTAACTGATTGATTAACAGTATTTGGGGTTCATAAATTGAAGTAAAGAATAACTAAGTCAAGATCATTTTAGGAATAATTTCATTTAGATTTGCACAAGCACATTTAGTTGTAGAAAAGCAGTCTAATTGGGCATATAGATATCATAAATATCTATTTTGTTTTCATAATTAGGCAGCTTAGTTAATATGCTCTTCACAAATTTGGGCACGCGGTATGCACACACAAGCGCCTTGCTAGGAAAATCCACCAAAAAGTCAAGGAACTCAAGTGAGCGTCACACAAAATGATGTGTAAACACATCGTGAGAGAGAGAGAGAGAAAGTGGGCGAGTGGCTGTGTGGGGGAGGGAGAAGCCAGAATTGTTGGCTAACAAAATGTACTGCACAGACACTGCCACGCCCACCCGCTCACACTCTAACGCCCAACGACTTATACGCAGCAGCCGTGGCATTTGCTACTTCGCGTAACTTTTGCTGACTGCTTGGTATGTCAGCGCTCTCGATGTCTGTGTGTGCGTGTGTTGACTACAAACTGCCTGTGAATGAAAGCTGAGTCAAGCTCTCGCTCGCTCGCCTCTCGGGAGAGTTCAGAGAGCAAGTGCCCCGACGGCTCTGACTCTATTAAGTAATAGGCGCTCAGTTTTTTGGCCAACATTTGCCGCCTACACGCAGTTGACTTCATCGGGCAGCTGTTGTCGTCGCTGGGGCTTGGGGCTTGGGGCTGGCTGTTGGTATGGGTTTCCTTTTGGGGGTTCGTCTTGACGGGGATTTCCCCATTGATGACAGCAAGGCGTCTGCTCGAGTTTTTGCTTTGCGCCCAAAAAAGTTTTTATTTTGGTTTTTTCTTGGCTGCCTCTCCCTCAGCTTCTTCTTCATTTATTTCGTTTTTATTACAATTTTCTCTTGATTTCATTTCAATAAATTAACAGAGCAACAGTAAATTGCGCCAGCAAAAAGATAATTAAGCGCAAAAATGAAGAAAATGGTTGCCATCGTCGTTGCTTTTTTCTGCTTCATTTTTGTTGCCCCTCATTTATGCAGCAGCTGCTACATATTGAATACTTTGTAGCTATCCATGAATATATATATATATATGTATGTACATATATATAAATATCTACAGCTCAGCATTCATATTCATAAGCCACACACACACATACACCCATCGAGCAGCGACAACGACGCATATAATGCATTATTTATGCCACAAATCAAACAAAAAAAAACAACAACAATAACAACAAATAAATATACAAATACTTACAATATTATATATATAATGCATACAGGTATTTCTTAAGTGCAAAAATAATATGAAAAATATCGGCACAACAAAAAAAAAAGCATTCGAAACTCAATGTCAAGAGTTTTACATAAAATCTTTGCAGCAGGCGAACTCAAACCTAAGTTGAAAACTAACTCAAATAGATATGTATAAAAATATAGACAAGACTGTAAGTACACTCAGAGAAAACTGCATAGGTAGCAGACCCGTTTCGCTCAGTGCAGCGACTGTAACTCCAGAAAGGCAAACTTATTTAGCTTAATATATATTTTACTCTATATTCTATCCACCTGTTTCTCTTAGTGTTCTCATCAGCTTTTATATTCTTCTTTCCTCATTTCGCTCAGTGCATATATTGCAATTTAATATTTATTTTATTCTGCATTTTATTTCCCCTTTTCTCTAAGTGCATTTGTTATTTATATTTCAGTTCTACTCATTTCTCTCAGTGCATTGAATGTAGCACATTTCGTGTTCTCTCTATTCTCATCACCCGTTTCGCTCAGTGATTAATATATAGAGAGCTCGACTTCTGTTTCTCTAATATTTATTGCAACTCATTTCTCTCAGTGTAATTTTTAATGTCCTTTTACTTTGCGTATTAATATTGCCAGCTATGCACCTTTCAACGCCTTTCTCTCAGTGTAGCACATGGAAACTTAGTCAAAGTTTATTTTTTCTTAAGCTGCTCGCCACTCGTTTCTCTCAGTGCACTCAGCACTGCATCTGAAGTGCAATCAATGTTGAAATTAAAGCTGCATTAGTCGGAATTATAGATAAATGCAATGCAACTCCTTGAGATAAACGAATAAAGACAACAACAACAACAACCAAACGTGTTGCAAGGCAAATATTTGCGCGCTTTTGTTTGCATTGCCATCAATTTTTGTCATTTGTTTAACTAATTTTTGTTGTTGCTGTTTTTTTTTTCTATTTGGCTGTTGTTGTTGTAGCTGAAGCCCACTTTTCTTTGGTCTATGCGTGCATTGCGCAATTTGGCCTCATTAGCATTAAATGTTGAATTATTTTTCAAGTCGTTGACGCAGTTAATGTCGAGACCTCAAACCCTCCATGCCGCTTCAGACCGAGCGTCTCCTTTGCCCTCGCTCTGCGAATGCAACGCAATTTTTTTGTTTTTACTTTATACAAATAGAAAATCGACTTTAATGTGCTATCTAATAGAAATAACAACCAACACACTTTAACTAGTTGTTGCTGCTGTTGTTGTTTTTGTGTAAATTCATTTGTAATAGGCATGCATTTATGCACTTTTCCAACTTTGCTGTTTGCTTGTCTTCAGCTTTTTGTTTTTTAGTCTCACGCGTCGTATGCGCATTATGTAAAACTAATTCAACTTCGATCGCTAGGCCTTTGGCTCGTTCACAAATGCAAAACTGGCAAATACTATCGAAATATATATATATATATTCCATATTATATAGCACACCTTCTACGTATGCTTAACCACCTGCCTTTAATTAGTCAATTAGCTAATCTGTCATCAATATTAATCTATTGACTGATTGTGCGCTCATTCAAGTAGTCATAATAATGTTAAATTAAAAAGAAAATTAGCTACATCATCAGCCACTTACGCAGGGTAAAAAAGAAATTCTAATCAACTCAAATTTAAGAACTTTGCACTAAGAATACGTTTTTTTAGGTGCAAAAATGTGATTATAATCGAAACTAAATTCCAAATTTGAACATATCAAAAAAGCACAAAAATTTAATAGTAATTCTTCTAGAATTTCAGAACTTTTTGAGATATGCTGGACGTGCGTCTTGAGCTTTTTAGACAGGCAGATCAGTTTGATCAGTTAAGTAGGCACATGAGTATGACATTTGCATATCCAGCTGAATGTTCAATCGGGAGTTGTTAGTCAAATCATATCCGAGGGGCTTAGTGCTAAAAGGTTTTAAACAAAATTTAGTATTTTAGGATTATGATTTTGTTGAAGCGAAAGTTTCTAGACGTATTCTCTAACAAATGGCATCAAATATAAAATTATTGTAAATTTTTTACTGCGAATATTTAGCAGAAGTTCTAGGCCAAGTAGTTTTAACTCAATTATAAATTAAATTATTATATAAATTTATATAATAATAATTATAATTATTATTATATAAATTTAAACAAACTAAAAATTTGCCTAAAAATTTTCAATCGCCAAATGTGTATCTTCAGCTTTTCTAGTTTCAAATTAATCGTAATTTCGTCAAGAATTAATTTTTTATATAAATAATATATATATATATATGAAAAGTAAAAGGTTACTGCCTAAATATAATAAAAAAAAATTAATTTATTTTTATTCCCTTTACTTTATAAAAACTCTCGCCAAAGTATTTTCTGCTTTAAAAAGTTTTAATATAAATTGAAAAACTTAAAAGCTAAATTGAAAGTAGCCAACTTGAAGAGTGTAGCAAGCATTTGAAAACCCCTTTTCTTGCAGTGTATACACATCTATGAAACATATATAGTTTCTATAGTTTTAGGCATATTAGCATCAGGCGAAATAGTCAACTCACCCGCTCCTCTTCACGTATCATCTCAGCAATTTCCGGTTTGATTTCCATGTCGTCATGATGTCCGCCCACCGAGGAGGCGGCATTGCCAGCGCCGGCTGCGCTGCCCGGCGCAGCAGCGCCGCCCGCAGCAGCGGCGGCCAGCGAAGCGCCCAGCACGCTGGCCATGGCAGCATGTGAATGCGCGAGCTGATGCTGTGCGGCCAATTGCTGAGCGGCAGCGGCGGCTGCATGATGATGCATGGAGGCGGCAGAGCCTGGTGGCGGAGGTGGCACGTTGGCAGAGGCGTGATGCGCTGCGGCAGCCACAGCGGCGGCCATGTGCGGCGGCAGCTGCGACTGTGCAGCAGCTGCTGCAGCCGCATTCTTATTGCCAGTTGGTGAGCCAAGTCCAGCTGCGGAGCTGCCATTGCTGTGCGCCGAGGGCGGCGGTGGAGGCGGCGGCGGTGGCGAGCGATAGGCAGCGGCTGATGAGCCATTCGAAGGAGCACCTGTCGAGCTGGAGCCGCTGCAGACTGTGGCTGCAGGCTGTGCGGATGCTGTGGCTGTGGAGCTGCTGTTGCTGCTGCTGTTGCAGTTGCTGTTGTTGCTGTTGCTGCTCGAAGCGGAGGAGGCCGGCAGCGTTTGTGGATTGGGCGAGGCAAAGGGATTGCGCACTATTGTGGACGTGGTCATGGCCAGCGGCAGCTGCGAGCTGTGCGCCGCCAGCTGTGAATTTGGTGACTCCGATCGCAGCGGACTGGGCGTGGCATAGCTGCCATCTCTCGAGCGCTTGCGCTGGCGCTGATTGAGATCGAGCGCAGTTTCAGCAGCGCGCAGCTTGGCCAGCAGGCGAGCACGCTTGGGCTTGAGCAGTTCATCGTCGTCTTCATCGTTCAGTAGGGCTGCCGCAGCAGCCAACTCGTCCTCGTCCTCATCGTCGTCGTAGACGCTCATGCGCTGCTCGGGCAGCATCGAGGCGCCGCCAATGCCCGCTCCGCTCGACCCGGCGCCCACCTCGGCCAGGCCGCGTATCTTCAAGGTTTCGGCCACCTTTAGCAAGGGATTGATTTGGTCCTGGCACACATTGATCTCGCCCTTGTACATGAACTCGACCAGAGCTTTCAAATCGCACCAGTTGACGTCGCGCATTATGATGATCGGGTGCTGGCAGGGATTGTCGTAGAACAGCGCCTGAAAGTAGGGTGAGCAGGCGGACAGTACCATTTTGTGTGCCTTGATCGACTGGCCATCGCAGGCGAGCGTCACGTCCACGAAGGATTCGTTCTGCAGCAGCTCATCGAAGACGTTTGTCAGATTCGATTGATAGTTGTTCCAGCGCAGGCAAAACTGTTGATTGTCTCCGCCCGCCGTGGGCGTCACCTTGCGCTGCGCCACGCCCACATTGACAGGTGGCAACAATTTGTGATTGATTTTGGGCTTGTGCTCCGGCTGCTCCACGCTCTTGCCGAACTCAAAGAGTCCAATCGCGGCCAAATTGTGGGCCACCAGCGGCTGCGGAGAGACGGGCAAGGAGCGGCTCTTCTTGGCCGTCAGCTGTATGCGCAGCTCCGGATCGCTGGGCTCACTGTGACCCACCACCTCGCTGGAGGTGAGCGGACGTGGCGGCGGGGTCAGCGGCTGTTCATTGAGCACAGTTGGCTTCTCAGCCCGAGTCTCCTCCTTCAGCTGGTGCTGCAGCTGCTCTGGCTGTGCCTCTGGCTCCTCTCGCTTGGCCAGCTCAAGTGGCATTTCGTGTTCCGCCTGCTTGGACAGCTCTGAATTTACCATTGTGTAGTCGCTCGGCTCGTATTGCTCGCCGCCGACGCTGCTGCTGTCTAGCGACTTCCGCTCGAAGTCCATAATGTCCTTGGTCATGTCCATGTTTCTGTCTCTGTTGGCTCTTCACTTGGTCCGAGTTGTGGCGTTTTGCTTGCTTCTCTGCTTACTCTCTATTTAGCACATTTTACGGCTTTTTCTCTCTCCGGTCGAGAAATTGTTTTTCAGCTGCAAGAAACGTAAAACAGAAGCGAAACACAAAATGCAAATTCGTTCGTTTCAGTGAAATCGTTAAGCAAACGCCAATCTTATGGATAAATGAAAGACAAGCAAAACTTTCAGTGCAAAATATAATATTATGATAATTGCTGTAGTATATATCTATAGCTATATAACTGCATGTATATATATAAATTCATATATTTTTATATACTTTGAGGCCTAATTTTGATATTATTATTTGTTTCAGATTATTATTATTGTTAGTGCTTACTCTGAATAGCATTGGGATTTGATGATTTTCATTATACTTACTTAATCTATTATAGTTATAGCAGTCCTGGCATATGTCAACTTCTCATCTACTCCTTATTCAAATTCATTAGATTCCCCTTTCATTTGATCAACATGTTCTTAGGCACTTTCCATAATCTATTTACTAGCTAATAGACTTCTGCTTTACAAATCTTAACCAAAATAGTTCTTATAGATCTTTCGCTTTCAAATGTTTACCACATAGAGTTAGAGAGCGCTAGATAGACAGACAGACAGACAGTTAGATAGATGGCTGTAAATTAATAAGGCACATGCATGTAGCTTACGCATACATCTATATTCTAAGGTAGCATAAGCTGAAACATAAACATATCTAATGTTTGTATTATTTATGTCTAATTGCTATAAATGCCTGAAGAATCAGTAACCGAGTTGATCTAGCTCTACCTATTCATTTGTCTGTCTATCAATCAGTCTCTTTCTATATGTATATATAGCTGAATTTGTCTACATATATGTAGCTATCTCTATTCTTGTATCTTCCTTTCTCGCTCTTTCTGTGCCTCTCATTTTGCCTCACTGTGTGTCGTTCTCGCTCTCTCTCTCTCTGTGTGTCTCACTTTCTCGCTCGCTCGCTTGCTTGCTCTCTCTCTCTATCTATCTATCTCTCTCTCTCTATCTATCTCTCTATCTATATATCTCTCTCTCTCTCTCTCTCTCTCTCTCTCTTTAGCTCTCTTTCTCTCTCTCTCTTTGTGTGTGTCTCACTTTCTCGTTCGCTTGCTTGCTTGCTCTCTCTCTCTCTGTTTTTTTATAAATACTTTGAATTTGATGATACAATTTTCAAACATTTACTTTATATTAATAAGTATATTATAAATAATAAGTAAAATATAAATATAAATAAATATAGTATAAATTTTGGATTTATTTATATTTATATATTTTATATATATATTTTTTTATCTATTTATTTTTCAATATCTTTTTAGGTACATCTTTCCCAACTCTATTATGTATATCTTTCTATAATACTTTGCTTGCTCAATAACTCTATTAAATAAGTTCATTAATCTTTGTTGCTCTCTCGAGCATTTCCATTTCTATTCATTTTGGCCCGCCACGCCTACCCTCGGCCCTCTCGCAGCAGCCCGCTGATTATTTTATTAGCAAAGCGCAAAAATTTATTTATATTTCATTTCGGCCTAATTTATTATGGAGATTTTCCAAACAATTATAGCGACTGTATACATATATATGCTACATATATATATATATACTCATGCGTATATCCAACTATTATCTATAAATATATATATAGCGTGTATATATATCTGTATTATCTTTTCATTTCATTTCTGTTTCGCTTTATAAATAAGTGGAATACATTTATATTTAATTAAATATTATTATTTATGGCTGACGCCGAACATTTGCGTAATTATATTTATTTAAATATATATAGATATATATATGTATGTGTGTGTATCTGCTGCTATGTTTGTGTGTGGCATGGGCGTGGCAGTGGGCAACAGCGCTTGTCTCTAACTGTGTGGGAGGCCTGCAAAAATGTGTCTCCCTTTGCAAGTGCGTGTGTGGGACTCTGTGTGTGTGTGCAAACACAGTGAGCCATAAAATTAATTTATTTTTATTATTATTGTTATTATATTTCTTTTGCTGCTTCTTCTGCGACTCTTTGCGACTCTATATGCTCGCGCATCACATGAAAAGCGGGCGTATTGGTTTTAAGACATGGCTAGATGACTTGCATTTGCAGCTAGTGCCTTGATTTCTGACTTGATTCGAGTTTCTATTAGCAAAGCGCACTGAAGGCGTGGCATATAGGCCAGCTATAAGCTACTTTACTTTGGTATAGCGCATCTGTGAACTAGAATTCCTTATTGCCACAGGAGACTGGGCGAGTGTATATTAAGCAAGTGCCTGAAAGCTATATCTACTTAGAGCTGGGCATAGCTAGATATATAATCTATATAGATTTCGAGCGAGCAAGCATCGTGCAGTCAGCTATGCTCATTCGCAAAGTTCTCACTTGTTTTGTTTTATGTTTATTATTTCATTCCAATTAAATTCTTGCGCTCCAGTCGAGACCTATTATTATTATTATTATTATTATTTTTATGCTACAACAAGAACAAGAACAATAAGAATTTGCCATTTGAAATTGCTTTTGTTTTTCTTATATATATTTATTGCTCTTGTTGTTGTTGTTGGCAACTTTTTGTTTGTTTTTTTCTTCTCCTAATTTTTTTTAGCTCTCGCAACTTTTTATTTGTTTATTTATTTTATTGCTGTTGTTGTTTTTGTTTTGCGCCTTGATTTCTAAGCAGCTCGAGAAATGCCATAAAAAATAAATATATATATATAATAATATAATTTTTAATGTTTTTATATATATATATATTTTTGGGCATTTCCTGTTTTAATTTTTTTCTTTAGAAAAAAATCGTAAAGCTGCGAAGCCTGCACATTGTTGTTGTTGTTGTTTTTTGATTAATTATTTATAATGCGCGCAGCTGTTGCGCCGCATAAAAATAAAAATTAAATTCGAAGCGAAGCAAAAAGTAAGAAAAAATAAAAAATAAATAAAAAGCGCAAGAGAAAAACATAAAATAAAAAATAAAAATGTGCACATTAAAAAAAAATTATATATATATATATATATATATATATATATATATATATATATATATATATATAAATATATATAAATCCAGCACAGGCCGGCTGCACACACACACGCACAGCAGTCAAAGTTTTTTTATTTATTTTTTATTTTAATATTTATTATTTTTATTTATTTAATTTACGAGTCCTGCGAAGTTTGCGCAGCGCCGCTTGCTTATAGCAGTTGCCTGACTGCCTGCCACACACACAGCACACCCAGCACACACACACGCACACACATACACATGTACACCTTTATATACATGCGCATATATATAAATATATATTTTTGTATTTATTTATTTACGCTTATTTATTATTTATGCAGCAAATAATAAATTACACAGCAGCAGCAGTTGATGTTGTTGTAGCTGTTGTTGCCTGCCGTTTTTATGACTCTGTCTGCTGCCTCTCTGTGTGTGTGCGTGTGTATTTTGGCGGGCAACAAGGAGCTGAAGCAAAGTTTTGCTGCTGCGCGCCCAAAAAATAAAACTTTTGCAAGGGCGCAAAAGATGTTGAAGAAGAAGAAGCGACAGCAGAAGCAGAAGAGCAACAACAACTTTTTACGAGCAACGGAGGCGTGGCAGTTGGAGGAGCAGGGGCTCGTGCACACGTTATAAATTTATAAATTACAATTTCAGCGCCGAAGACTAAGCAACAGCAACAGCAGCAGCAGCAGAAGCTGTAAAATGTGAGCGCTTATAATTTATATATAAAAACATTTATATATACCATAAATATTATATAAAAATAAGTAACTTGCTTAACAAATTGATAGAAATATATATAAATAAATATATATATATACGCCCTATAGTTCATAGATATATAACTAAAAGCTTACTGTAGTTGTTAACATATTTGATCAATTATTTTAATGCAATTATTTTTCCATTTTTTTTGTTGCATAATTATAATAATTAATTTATGACACATACATTTGACGAAACTAACTGAGTTTTCCACGTAGCTTTTCCAAGGTTTTCTTGTCGCACATTTGTTTTTGTTGTTTCAGTTTGTGCAGCGCGTGCAACACATTGCTTTTTGTTATTTATTTATTTATTTATTGCTTATTTGTTGTTTGTTTTTTGTTTCATTCACTCGCACACACGCACATACAACAAGACGACGACAACGACGCGGCACATTCGTTTATTATTATTATTATTGTTGTTGTTGTGGATGTTGTTGTTGTTGTTGTTTGAATATTTCGGCATACGCTGCTCAGACCAAACGTTGCGTTGCATTCACGACGAAAGTTAAATACGAACTGATTGCTCGGCAAAAGTATCTAACAGATACAATGAATGAAACTCGAAACGCGACGTCAGCAGCGCTGCTGGCGTCGTCGTCGTCGCTGCTGCTCTGCGAGAGCGTGAGCACGAGAGCGTGACAGAGAGAGCGAGTGCAAAACGCCGCATATGTTAGTGCCGCTTGTTTTTTGCGGCGAATTCGGTGAGCAAAGCGTCTTAAGAGACTCAACTGAGCTGCTTAAGAGAGCGGTAAAGTGTGCTCTTTGTTGTCGGCCTGGTGTTGCTTATGATCTTTCAAGAATTAATGATAAAGTGCAATTTTTTATTAATGAATAATTATTTTATATTGGTAAAAGTTAAACGTGACTGTACTTTTGAGCTACAGCAGCAGCAAGCAGCTGTTGCTTAGGCTCTGTGCATTTATTTGTCTTCAGTCTTAGCTTTGATTGGAGCAAGCAGGAGGAGAAGGAGGAGAAGTGGATGAGGAAAAGCAGGCAATTCCCGAGCCAATAAGGCAAATACATAAAAATCGCGAATAACGTCAAGATACGCATAACCAAAAACTGCGCCTACGAGTACAGCAACAACAACAATTATAACAACAATAACAACAGCTGCAGCAGCCTCATTCTTTTAACCGGAAAGAAAGAGAGAAGCTGCTGCATTTGGTCCAGTAAGAAAATGTTGCAAATAGTTTTTAGCGCAACCCCCGACGTCGAATATCTTCAGCTTATTGCAGCCATTCATAGTTGTTGTTTTTATTGTTGTAGTTGTTGCTGCTGCTGCTGCTTAGGCCAACTACTGCGCAAAGAGCACAGAAAAACTACAGCACTTGGCCACGCCTTCTCGGCACAGTTCGGTAAGCGACCAAATGCATGGGTGTGAGCGAGCGCGCAAGCTTTGCGCTCCCTACAAGCACACACTCACACACACGCACGCACACAAGCGCAGCACAGTCAAGCAGCTTAGGTGAGAGGCGACCCCTCCGTCATACAACCCAACTCGGATAGCCCGCGTGTGAGCGAGAGCGAGCCGAGCATTGCTGTGGCGCTCTCTTAGACAGCGCTCATTGGCAAAGCTAAAAAGAGCAAAAACTTTTGCGCAAAACAAAAAAAAAAGATACAACAAAAAAACAACAGCAAAAGCAATAAGCAGAAAGATGTGCAGTGGCCAAAGAGGAAATGCAAAATGCGAGCGAGCGAACTTGCTGTTGTTGTTGCTGGTGACGTCACTCGGTAGGCGGCGCCACGAACGCATTTTTAATATGCAGCTCGCATAGTTGTTGTTGCTTGTAGGCCTCTTGCTGCTGCAGCAGCAGCACCAGCTGTTGTTGTAGTTGTTGTAAGGTTGACATGTGCGCAACCAATAACAACAACTAAACTAAAGCCCCATGTGTGCGTGTGTGTGCGAGTGCTCGTTCGTGCGTGCGTATGTGTGTGTGAGTGTGTGTATGTGCGTTTGTTTTTGTATATTTTGCATATTTTATTTGATTTGCTTTCTCGCTTTTTTTTGGCCTTTTTTGTGCTTCGTGTGCTTTGGCGAGCCGTTCGCACGCTTCGTGTTCAACGCCCATTGGCTGGCATTTTAAATTTATATATATATATATATATATGAATTTTATACATATTTATATATATTTATATACACGTGTGTGTGTATAGAAAAAAGCGTAGCATCGTAAATATTTATAAGCGCCTCTTCGGCCTCTCTGCAGGCAGCTTCGGCTAACACGAAAGTTCGCCGAGCTACAAAAGCGAATCAAAATCATTTGCTTGCCTATATATTTATACATATATATACATATATATTTATTTAATAGTTCTTATCACAGTATCAAATGTAGCTATAAATAAAATTGATTTAAATACAGCGCGAGCCGGTTAGTAGAGTTCACATAGTCTTTATGCTAAATTAATTAATTAGTGTGGGGTTTGCCTATGAATAAGTAATAAGCAATATATAAATCTACTCAAACTGCAATAAAGCCCTTATGGCTAAAAGGCATGCGTTTTAAAAATAAATGTTAGATCATATTAGCAAATATTTTTATAGAATTTATATATATAATATAAATTGAATATATACTTAAAAGCTAAGCAAAATATAAAGCATTGATGTATTAAATAACAATAATAATAGTAATATAATTTTGTTTTGATTTTAAATAAATACGAATATATTTTCTTCTATAAAAATATTTGCTGCAAAAATATTCTATAGAACTTCTTTCATGTGTTAAGAATATTTGTACGTTTTCAAACTCAAGGTTCTGAAAAAATAAAATATAGAAAACTGATTTTGGTGCTTCTTTTTGAAAAGAACTTTTGGATATGATATTTATATTAACAATTTGCTTAAAATTTAAAATGTGATTATCGTTATTATTATTTTTAGTATTATCATTATTATGCTTATGGTATATTTAAAATCCATATAATCGAAGCAATGGAAGTATAAATAATTCTAATAAATATTTATAATAAAAGCTGTTTACTTATTATTTTTCGAGCGAATTATAAACAATTCTAAATAATATATATAATACATACCTTTACGCTTGAAGTACATTATATAACGTTACATATTTTCCAAACAGCTTTTTAAATTTTCCGCAAAAAAATCTATAAAAATTCAGAAAATTATGATTTTTTGAATGTCTAAATAATTTATAGTTAAAAACTACTTAGTAAATAAATAGTAATACTCAACTTAAAATTATTAAATTTTCTTAAAATAAAATATAATTCAAAATTAATATAATATAAATTAGTTATATATTATATATGAAATAAATTATTTATATATAATTATAAAATAAATTATTTATATATAATTATAAATAACTATTTAAAATTAAAATAAAATATAAAAATAATTTAAAATAATTTTATAAACTACTATTAACATGATTTTATCAGAACTGAACTTTATTTAATTCGTTGGGCAAATCCATTTGTTAATGAAGTGAAATCAGTTGTCGACAAATGCTTTAAGCCTTTACGTATGTAAAAGTTAAGCATCTTTTGCGTTTTCATTAGATATGGCAAGTTCCTTTAGTAAAACTCCCAACAATTCCGTTTTTTTTTTTTTGTATTTATTCAAGTCGATTTCTGCTGCGCCGGAAATGAAAGCCCTTTCCGCATTCGCCAGCTCAAAGATGGCCGCCAAAAAAAAATATAAAAAAAAACTTTGAAAGCTGAAAATTGAAAAAAAAAAGAAGAAAAACTAGCGAGTATTGGCTTCCGTTCCGCCGTGGCGAGTAGGAAATTTCAAAGTGCAAATTATTGGAGGGAGGAAAAGCGTGAAAAAAAGTGAAAAACTGTGCAACGGGCAGCGGTGTGGAAACCACGTTAAAGGACATCCGCTAGCAAAGCGAAAGAGTTCACATCGGCAGCAGCCAAAGCAGTCGAGGCAAGTCAAAGAAATGGCGACAGGAAATGGACATTGCCACTAGAAAGAAGCAGAGAAGCCAAAACAGACCAAAGCAGTGGACATCAAGTGGAATATCCCTGGAGATGGCATTTCGGTATAGGCAAAAAGCTAACCCACAAATCGAACTGAACAACAAACCAATCAGCAAAAAACACAGTACGCAAAATACAAAACAGAAAAAAGAAATGTTTGCCTTAAAAAGCGAGCAAACTCTCTGAAGAGCCTGCCAGGGTATTTGATGTCTTTTGACAAACAGAACAAAAAGCGACGGCCGACGCTTAAAGATTTTGAGTGGCTTCAAATGGACATTCGCAGAATTCGTAATGGGCGAATGCTGGAAAATAGGCAATGAAGATTGGGAGACAGGAGAGAAAGTGAAGCATTGCAAAGATATCTAGTGGAGTGTAACACTCAAAGCTAAGAGCAAAGAAGCTGAAAAGAGCTCTGTAGTAACTTAAAGCTAGGAATTTGGCTGAAATAGTTCAGAGATTTCAATTGAATCTCTGATGAATTCATTAGAAAAACAGTTCGATTTATTTATATATTTATATATATTTTAAATACTTAAGTCTCAGCTTGACAGTCCTTGCTCTACAACTGTGGAACCCAGAGGTTTTGCTGATTTGCCAAGCCTCAAAAGTCTTATCTAAATGGGTAAACATAAACTGAACGTTGGAATATATTGTTCACTTTAAAGAAAAGACTGTCCTTTGTCCAAGTCGCTGGAACAACAATCCTTAGCAGCGGCACAGCCAAGTACTTGAAACTGGTGCTTGACAGACAGACTAAGCTAGAGATCTTAACTAATTACCAAAAACAAGCAACTCAATGAAAGGCTGAAGAAATAATTTTAACTTGTCGGAAAAGGCTACTACGCTAAGTCGCTAATCTAAAAGTCTAGAATGAAACCCCTGTGAATCTGTGGGATTCCAATCTGAGGCACTGCCAACCATAGAGCGCATAGAACGATCCAGAAAATCCACGCAGAACTCGAAGTCAGGAGTTCATGAAGAGATTTTCAGGCAAAGCGCAGCCTACATGGAACGAGTTGACAGACACAGCAACCTCCATGACATCAACCTACTTAATAGCAGCACCGTCAACCGCCGCCTAAGAAGAAGAAGAACTACTTTACCCTCTAAACCCTCTCCTTAACTATCTTCCACCTTAAGTCATGCTGAAAATACAGAGACTTGAAAATAATTCAACGGAAAGATAATCCATTCTTATTTGTGTCTATATACTTACCCTAACACATATAGGAATATATATTAAAACTTCATATAGATACAACAAAATTTATATAAAACTTATTTGATCTATAATAAACATTTTTATTGAAAAACATCGATTAAAGGGCAAAGACCACTGACGAAATTCTTTTAAGAGCTGTTAACAAAATCTTAGAAG